GGGTGGACGTTTGGCCGAAAAGGCTTGGCTCCAAGCGCAGACAACCAATGCTTACAGTGGCCTCGGGCCGGGCTGCTGCATTTTGTAGGTCGATAAATGAATGACACAGCACAGACAGCTCCGCGCTGCAGTTTTGAACCGCAACCTTCAAGACCTGACGCGGTGCGGAGTCAAATTCGGTGCTGAGGCAAGTGGGAAAGACATGGAGGAGAGCTGTCAACATGTTGCGGTTGCTTTGGTTCTTGTTGTCGTGGTCGTGGTCTTGGTCATGGTGGTTGCTCTTGCAGAAGCGCTACAGTACCAGCTTAAGCGAAATGAAGACCGATTTACAAAACATCTGCCCACATGGGTGTCCATGACTCAACGGAGGGACAAAAAGCAAACAGCACGCAGGGTGTATCAGCAAGCAAGCTGAGCTTTCTTGGACATCTTGCGCGTGTTTGTTATGTATCACACACACACACACACACACCACTTTTCCAAATAGTATAGTCGGCCCGCGACCGATAGCTGCCAGTGGTGTTGTTTCATGCACTTGTTTACGGTTTGCTGGGTGTTTCCTAGCATGTTTGCCGGTTCTTCGAGCTTCTTTGGCGGGGTTGGTTGCGTCATGTTTGGCTGATGCTATGGAGACCCCACCCGAACCCTTTGCGTACCCTCCAAGTTTTTTGGGCCTCGCCCGAACACTTCGGGTACTCTAGATCGTGTTCACCCGAACCCTTTCCATACCTAGCCAGCCCCGTTTCCTGGGCCTCGTCCGAGCCCTTCGAGTTCCCAGGCCACTCAGAAGCCGAATGGAATCGGGTGCACCAAAAAACAAGCATGGAAAGACCATCGCTAGCCCCCTCGTGACTCCGTTTGCCAGACAGCGTGCGCGATACATACATACATACATACATGCATGCATACATACATACATACATATATATATATATATATGTATGCTCCCCCCCCCCCCCCCCATGATCATGGTCCACACATTTGGCCTCGGGAGGCTGTGGGGTTAGGGGGGTTATCGTGCCGCGGACTCCGGACTCCAGATTTCCAGAATGACTCTGGAGCACCCCCAGACTCCAGACTCCAGACTCCAGATTTCCAGAATAAATCTGGAGTATCGGGGCCATGGACTCCAGAATCTGGAGTCCGTAATCTGGAGTCCGGGGTCCCGGTACTCCAGATTCACTCTGGAAAATCCAGATTCACTCTGGAAATCTGGAGTCTGGAGTCCGGGGCCCCGGTACTCCAGATTCACTCTGGAAATCTGGAGTCTGGAGTCCTGGAGTCCGGGGCCCCGGTACTCCAGATTCACTCTGGAAATCTGGAGTCTGGAGTCCGGGGCTCCGGTACTCCAGATTCACTTTGGAAATCTGGAGTCTGGAGTCCGGGGCCCGTGTTCTCCAGATGCACGCTCAGGAATACCGTTTAGTGTTTATTGTTTAGGATTTGTTGGGTTTAGGGTTTGCAGGGTTTAGTGTTTAGGGTTCAGGGTTTAGTGTTTAGGTCTCGTGTTTAGGTTTTGGATTTAAAAGTTTAGGGTTTACTTGTTAGGGTTTAGGGTTAAGCGACTTGTATAATGTCTAAAACCCTAAACCCTATAATTATTAAGTTTACAAACCCCTAAAGCACTGAAGCTCCCATGTCTTTTTGGTTTAGGGTTTAGGGTCTAGTGGTGAGGGTTTTGGGTCCAGGATTTGATGCTTCGGGTTAAGAGTTTAGTGTTTAGTGTTTTGTGTTTAGGGTTTAATGTTAAGTTCAAGGTCTAGGGTTTAGGTTTACGGTTTAGGGTCAAGCGACTTGGCTAAAACCCTAAACCAAGTAAAGCCTTAAACTCTAAAATCCAAACAGTAAGCATCTGGAACCCCGACGGGTTTTTGGTTTTAGGTTTAGATTTAGGGTTTATTTCGGATGGGCGTGTGCGAGACATTAGTTCTTGCGGTGAGCGACAGTCAGCCAGTGCTGTAACTTGCCTCCGCCTCAGTGTCCCAGTGTCTTAGTTGGTGTGACTTGCCCGGCAGTGTTCGAAGAGGCATGGATGCAAAAAGGTTTAGATTTAGTAGGGTTTGAGGTTCCGGCTTTGGGTTTACTGTTTAGGGTTTAGGGTTTAGTGTTCAGGGGTTAGTGCGCAGGGTGTAGTGTGTAATGTTTAGGGTTTAGTGTGAGGGTGTAGTGTTCAAGTGTTGAGGGTTTAGTGTTTGTTTAGTGTGATTTGTTGAAGCAATGCCAAAGCTTGCCATGTCAATCCGCTGTTTCGCATGCTCCCTGAACAGCTTCCTGACCTGCCAGCGCGAGAGCTCCAGCAATGAACCATTTTGCCACGACAGGCGCTGCATTATCGGAGGTGCCATCTCGGCTCTACGACCCTACGGTAAAGACCCCTGGGCCCTACGCCGGCGGAAGGACACGTGAACCCGAAAGAATCATGCAACCCAAAGTTGCATATCCGCAGACCTTTCCAACTGGTGGTGATGAACAGTGTTTAGGGTCTAGTGCTTAGGGTTTA